CTGCCCACCACTTGCTCCCATCCTGCACCTTCATCTTTTCTTGGTTCTGAGATGCCTCTCTCTCCCATGCTCCTTTGCTCTCCCCTCCCAGCCAATCATCTTCCTCCTCCACCAGCAGATTTCCTTCAGAGTCCCCAAGGCTCCCCTAGCCTTCGTCTGGCCTCACCCCACTGTCCCCCTGTGACTCTGGAGTCCTTCCAGGTACTCTCCAGGCTTCTGCACCCTTCCTCCCCACCTCTCTCCTAGACTTGTCAGTCATCCCTGCCTGCCCAGCTGCCCTCAAGGTAGTGGTGGTCCTAACTGACCTCATCATTTCCTCCTTCATCTGGCTGGTCCCGTTTTTGAACTCACTATCCCCTTATGCTCCAGGTTCCCAGCATGGAGGAACCTCCCACCCCCAGCCCACATCCAGTTCTCATGATTCTGGCCACTTCTAAGCATCCCTCACATCCATTCCATCCCCAGTCCTCTCTGCCACCTGGCTACCCTGGCTGTCACCTCCTCCCCTCCAGAAGCCTCCAGCTACCCTTGGCCTTCAGCCTCACCCCTCTCAATGCCCACTCCCCATGCATTTCACCTCACTGGGCCTCACATGATCACCAGAGGGACCTTTCTGTACTGTAGATAGGATTCAAATTCTTACAAAAGTCATCCTGGGCTCTCCACACCTTATAGGATACAAGCAAACCTTATCAGCCTCACATTTGCCCTCCTGTACTGTCCTAGCTCATTGAGGTGGGGGCCTGTGTTGTTGGTCATTATTGTCCTGGCACGCAGCACAGGGGCAATAGCTCAAAGCTCCTCTGTCCATGGTTTCTGAAGGAAGAAAGTGACCTCCATGCCACGCTTCAGGCCACATGTGGTAAGACCATTCCTTCCTCAGGAGCCAAGTAACTCTTAGAAGACAGCCAGCACCCCTGTGAGTCTTCATTCTACAAGGAAAGCAGCCTTGCTCCTTGGTCCTTCCTCAACTGCTCACTTGTCCATGCCTGTCTTCTCACTTCCAAAGCTGAGCACGGTCTCCTGCGGTCTTGTGACCACCACCACTCAGCTTCCCCAGAGGAAGGGCAGGAAACTCAGAGGGTCTCACTCTGGAGGAGATGACAGGGATGGTTTTCATAGTTTTCCTGCTGGGATAAAACACAGTAGAGGACACAGGCACCAGTGGCTCATGCCTGTAATCCTAGCTACTCAGGAGACAGAGATCAGGAGGATCAGGGTTTGAAGCCAGCTCCAGGTAATTTGTTCTGAAGACCCTATCTCAAAAAAAATCCATCACAAGAAAAAAGGGCTGGTGAAGTGGCTCAAGCCATAAGAGCACCCACTTAGCAAGTGTGAGGCCCTGAGCTCAAACCCCAGTGCCACCAACAAAAAGGGTCAGGGTGCTTCAGAAGGGACATCTTATGTCCCATGCCAGTGCCTCAGGGTGGCATTGCTTAACCACACAGGTTTGGGACCAGGGGGATCGGGCATACACGTCTCTGGTGCTGATCAGCACCTGATTCACCCCGCCATTGGCTCTGCCTCCGTGACCACATTGGTTTAGAGCGAGGGGCTCTGGTTCGTGCCTGGCACGGCTTGTGGTACATAGCCAGTGAGGCCTACAGGCAGTGTCATGGATCTTCAGGGTCTCTGCCAATGAGCCTTAGTTGTACTGCTGTCAGCATCAAAAACTGTTTCTGTTTCATTTTATAAAACTTGAGCACTTCCGATCCATAGCACCCCAAAGTCCCCCTACACAGGTGTGTGGCCCAGGAAGGGAATTCCTTCACAGTGTGGGTTAAAAAATGCAGGAAGTATGGAATTCCCCCACAAGGTCTGAAGAAGCAGGCAAGTTAAAGGAACAGCATTCCTTCCACACTCCACAGAATGGTGCAGCCAGGTGTTTGAAACTCTAAATCAGGAGCAGAAATAAGACTACTGGTCTCAGGATGATCCCAAGTGCCTAAGCCTCTTGTTTTTCAAGTCCAAGTGCAGCTTGCTTCGTGAAAAAGGCAATATTAAAGTACCAGACACTCCAATTCCTGTTAATAGAATTGGGATGGAGAGAACAGAGACACGCAGAAAGAAACCACGGGAAAACCTGCTTGCCAAGTGAAATGTGACCCACTGCTCAGCAAGTGCACAATGTAGCCCGGGATAAGAGATGGTCCTTGTGAAAATACTTCAAGAGGGGTGAAAAGAACAAGACTTTGCCTTTGGTATCATAAATTATCTTTTTTCCTAAAAAGCTTAGTACCTTTCACACATAGCAGTCCACGGTCCTATTTACTTTGGGGGCCAGAAGTAAAGAGGCTTTTGACTTAAAACAGCGATGGCTGTTTGGAGCCTATCCTGTGGCACTTTGTCAGCTCCCAGTGACTGCAGCATGACTGAATTAGAAGGAAGGTGGATGGACCCAATTGGTGGGTGAGGCAAGGGCGCACACCCACCTCTGTGGCTTGGGTAGAGGGTCCCACAGGGAACAGCAGGAGGCAGGACTCCCGGATGGAGAAAGGGAATTCAGCTTTGGCCTGGGTTGAATCCAGGAGCTTCTAGAAGGCAGGCACAGGTTGGGATGCAACCCTGGGGAGGGTGTGGCCAGGAGTTCTGGGTGTGGTTTTAGCGATGTCAGCACATAGAAGCCTCAAGAGTGGCATTGGAGATGCAGAGAACCCAGGACCATAGGGACCAAGCTAGGCATGTGTGAGCAAGCAGAGCAGAAAGCTGCAGTTGAGACTGGGCATCTTGCCAGGGCAGCACTTCAGCATCAGGGGGAGCTGAGAAGTTGATGATGGACAGCACCCTAGTTACACCATGGAGATAAGGTACAGGGACACTGTGTTCCAGAACTACTGCCACCACCACCACCCCTTCCCCCATGATACTAACAAGAACCACTGAGCTCTCAGGGAGAGAAGGACATCTCATTTTTTTTTTTTTTGGTACTGGGGCTTGAACTCATGGTCTTCACCTTCAGCCACTCCACCAGTCCTATTTTTGTGAAGGATTTTTCGAGATAAGGTCTCGTGGAACTATTTTCTTGGGCTGGATTCAAACCACAATCCTCGTGATCTCTGCCTCCTGAGTAGCTAGGATTACAGGTGCAGCCACCGGCACCAGGCAGGAAGCCACATTTTTATCTAGCGGTCCTCTACCCCCTCACTTGCCTGCTGCTGTCCTACACATCCAGTGGTCTCTTTTCTCCAAGTTCCAAGCACGAGTTGCAACGAACACCACCTTATCGATGCCAGCTCCCAGGGCAGGTGGCCTAGCATGGTGTTGATCGGCCATCAGCTAGCTGATCTGAGACTTTGAACCTGCTGCTCCACCTCCAACTAGAAAACCATAATAAACAGCACCCAGTCAGAGGAGACAGTGCCAGGTAGCACTGGCAACAACACATGCTTGGAACTGCAGAGCAGGGGCAGGCACAACACAAGCTGCTTTAATCCGTTACTGCCACAGTCTGATTGAATTTGTGATCATCTTTTTCAGGAAAGAGAAAATATCTATTTGGACTCTGGTGCCAGCCATAAAGTCCATGTGGCCACCCCAAAATAAAGCGTTCACAAATGCAGAGTGCCCCAAACTCAGCAGGTCCTGGGGTGGACAGGCTGGTAGTGCTCTGTGTGAGAGAAGCAATGTCCCATGAAGGAGAGCCAGGCTTCTGGGGTCAGCAGAGAGGGGAATGGGTCTTCATCGATCACCTGAGCCTCTCTGGGGTTACTGTCCTTGGTAAACAGTAAACAAGAGAACCATTGATGTGGCCTCTCATCCTGCTTCCGAGTTTGCAGCTGTGTGACTGAGCCCATCACTTCACACCTTCGAGCTTGACGTCCCCAACAGTAAACAGGAGGATCTTAGTGACACACATTCTGTGGGTTCGAGCTGAGGGTGACAAGTTACATGAAGCCCCCAGGGAGGAGGCAGTGCCAGGCACATGCCGGCTCCAGTGTGTAGGACACATGCTTCCGATGACCGGCGCACACGTGCTCCATCGCTAACTCCTCGCTCCACACACGGAGGCATCTGGTATTCAATTTTGTGAACCTGAATTCTTAAACTAAAGACCTAACCCTTCCTCAGTGGCGCTTGGCTACCAGAGTTTTCTCTCCGAATGTCGTAGTGTGATGGGCACTGTGGATTCACCCAGCCCAGGTGCTGGCTGCACAGGATCAAGCTCAGTCACTGTCCACTTTTGCTTTGAAGTTGCATGACTTGCCACTTGGAATATAATGCCAGAGGCAGACATGGCCGCCGGGGCCCTGGTGATTTCTCATCCCTCGAATGACTGTCTTGGTTTAAAATCAGACCTCTGCCTTAACGATGTTTTAAGAAATACATAAATAGGAGTACATAACACTGTGTTCACTGTGGCTGAAACAGCTTTTATCTGTCACAATTTCACACAAAGCACAAATTGTTGCAAAAATACCTGAACTTTGCTATCACGGGGGTGCTTTGAAGAGATTGTTAGGTGTGTAGCAATTACTCACTGGCCACATTCAGTCCTGTCCCAACTCTGTCATGAAGCCCTGCTCACCCTGGAGAGGCTGAGAGCCACCTTCCAGGGACAGCCTCGACCACAAAAGCCCAGCCGAACAGAGACGAACAAATAGCATCATGGGAGCCCTGTGCTAAAACCGGGTTTTCTCCTAGTAAGCAAATGTGAATAAACCTGGGAACAGCCAGTAGGCTGTGATTAAAACTGTGGCCAGACTCCCATTCATTTTCAGCAGAAAACTATTGGTTTATTTCAGAACAAAGTACTCAGGGACCTAGAGTGGGAATGTGTGTCCATCAGGCCCAAGGGGCAGAGGGGAGGCCGCTGCCCTGTCCCACCCTGAGCAGGTTCTGAGCTGTACAGTCCATGACTGCAGGTACTCTCTTGTGGCCCTACCATCCTTGGGGATGTCCCAGGAAGCCACGGAGTCCTGCTGTTGGCAGAGAGAGCAATATCCCCCTGGAGAGGTGGGGGAGATACATTCACCTCCATGGCAGCCCTTTGTCCTGTGCAGGTGGCTCAGCAGCTTCAGCCCTCGGTGGTGTGGATCGAAGACACAGAGAAAACCTTCTACAGAAGAGTTCCCCACGCGGAAAAGCTGGTGAGGACTCCTCTCCTCGTCACTTCATTTCATCCTCTGACCTCTTCCTTCCTCCACGGGGCCTCGCACAAGGGAGCCCCTCCACCTTTCAAGGAAATCTGCCTTTTCAAGGAAAAAGGCGCCGTGGGGGCTTTCGAATCTCCTGCAGTGGTCTCTCTCTGCCCTAAGTGCTTGTCTGTGTTTGAAAGAATCCAGGGGTTTGATTTTATGAGACATAATTTAGAGAGAAAAAAAAAAAGGAAGAAAATAGGGAGGAAGGCGGGTAGGGAGATTTTTTTAACCCAAACATATGATTCAGAGGAAAGAAACAATTTAGAGAACCCCGCTCAGTTACAGTCAATGGCACACATAGGACTTATTATTAGGACTTCCTATTGTTCATAATAATAAATAGCACAAGGCCTGAGATTCACGAACAAAGGCCGTCCACAGCACTGCCAAGAGCCCCGTTCCAATTGCTTCCTTCCTTCTTTTCTCTCCTTTCAATGGCCCCCTCCCCCGTACTTCCCCCCACAAATCACCAGCAAATTTCCCACACGTTAAAAAAAGAATTGCAGATACACACGATTGCTATCCCACATCAATTTGCACCAAAGCAAATAGTGGTTAACTGTGAGTTTCTGATGAAATTCATAAGGATTTTAATCACTTTTGAGCCTTATGTATTATACATCATTTGTTAGCAGGTAGAGATGATTCGGATAAAGGATGGAGGCTCAGTCTTTTCTTCTCCAAATGAGCCTTGATTGGCCTGTCATTTCGGAAACTCTTAGGAGGACTCATTTATTATTTAATCCGGGAATCCGGTGGTTAGCTCCCTCTGCTGGCCATGCTGCTACACTGAAGAAGAAGAAAAAAGTCCTCATCTTTGAAAAGTCGATGGTGGAAGAGCAGTGTGGGGATGTTCTTAGTCCAAGAGTCACACAGCTGAAGTCATCAGGAGTGTGGTTCACTGATAGGCAGGTGGTAGGCAGACACTGTCCTGGACCTCAGGGGACTTGGATTCCAGGCCTGCTCTGCCTTTCACTTTAGCTGGCAGTGTGTCCTTGAGCAAGTAACTTTAACCACTTGGAGCCTCTACTTCTTTAGCAGTACTGGGGTTTGAACTCAGGGCCTTGTGCGTGTGTCGTAGGCAGGTGCTCTACCACTTGAGCCACACCCCCAGCCCAAGCCCCCACACCTTTAACCACCATGTTCAACGTTTCCAGCCAGAGCAGCCTCTGAATCTCTAACTTCCTCGCCCGACAGCTCCCTGAGATGTCTCTGTCAGCAGTTACAGCCCACTGCTCACCTATACCTGAGCCCAGGCCAATCAGAGGAACGTGGAACATTCATTAATAAAAGAGCCAGAGGACATGGGCGGGGCAGGGGCGGGGCAGCTGTCAGCAGGGACTGAGATGTGGGTCTATAGACACCTCACATGCAAGAAGTCAGCGTGAGAGGAGGGAATGGTAGAGGATGGGAGCCAGTGGCAGTGAAGACAGAACCCCATCTCCAGACCCTTCCCTGCATAGACCTTCTTGTGCAGACACAGAGTTCTTCTCTTTCCTACCCAAAACACCACCCAAGGCAGGATCCACTCCTGCAGGAGATGAAGGTCCCTGGAGCCCAGGCCTTGTGGACAAATTGGACATTGCTCTGTTCACTTCTGCATTAGAAGATCCATTGACTACCGGGGCAGTTTGCTACCCTGAAGACCACAGGTCACACCCTAGGACAAGCCCCAGAACCGTCTGTGGAATACAGCAGAAAGTTTCCTGAGGTCCCTAACACCCACAAGGCCCAGGGGCCTGTTCCATCCTGGGCTTAGACACTTCCTCCCAGAAGCCTGGGCCAGCCCCAGCAGGACACAGTGGAGCCAGGAAGAACCAGGCATGCTTAGCTTCAACACAGCCTACACCATGGAGATGGCAACATTGGACACACCCTAGAGCAGGGCCACGGAGTTCCTGCTGCCTTCCTGTTACTCCAGGGCCCACTCCTCCCTCCTTCCCAGCCTCTCAGCCTTGGAGACTTCTGAGTCTTCCCAAGGTCCTCAGCCTCCAGGCCTTGGGCAGTCACAGAGACACCTGATTTCTGAAGAAGAGACCAGAAGCCACATCAGCAGGACCCCAGGCAGAATCCTCACCAGCTCCTCACTGCATCGCTTGGCCACCTGGGACTCCTTTCTCCCACCCGCCCCAGCCACTGTCCCAAAGGCTCCCCCAATTCTTCAAGTATGAAGACACAGAGAAGCATATCCATGTGCAAAGAAACCAGGAGGCAGGGCGTCCCCCACCCCAAGCCACGACACAGAGAGTGTGTGCAGATGAGGGATTCTGCAAAAACCCCTAAAGGAATCTCACCCACAGTGACTGACACATGTCCCATGTCTCTACCTTTGGTTAAGGCCTCTCCATGGTAAGATGCATGCGTGAAACTCACTCCAGTATAAGCAATGAGGTGATGGCGATGGCCTGAAGGCTCCCAAGTGGAGCCCACATCAGGAAGTAACACTCCAGAGGCACAGAGCAGGAGTCCTGACCCCTAGGGCTGCTGTGGGCAGGAAGAGGAGGCACAATGCGCCAGTCAGGGCGACTTCCAGTGGCCCTGGGAGGGAAGCACAGTTTTGTGTTTTACAGAAGAGGTGGAGGCTTAGAGAAGGTGCCCAGCTGGTAAGGGGGTCGAGCAGGATTCAGGAACGGGGCTGTGTGCTGCAGAGGCCATGCCTTTTGCCCCGTGTGGATACACTCACAGGTTGACAGACACTGAGTACCCACCCTGGTTCCCCTTCTGCCACAGGGCAACCCTGTGAGGGATGGGTCCCCACCTGTCAACACACGGGTCCATTCTAAACCTCTCTTGACTCTTTTGTCCTAGAGGAATCCCCCATTCTTCTGACCCCTCCAGTTCCTCCATATCTTCCCTTCTAGAACTTCAGGGTGGTCCAACCCTGAGTGCCACACCCCTGTGACTCTTGCAAACACAGCCCTGCCCCGTAAAAAGCCTGGACAGTGCTGCTCCCCTCCCCACTCCCCCCAGGAAAGAAGCCATCCTCTCCTCCTAGGTGCCACTAGAACGCGACCGGTCAGTGGCTGTGTCTGAGTCAAAGCAGTAAAGAATGAGGAAGACAGCCTACTCTTGCATTTTCCACACCATTACCTTTGTTACTTCATCTAGCCCGCGCCTTCCCTGACATCACCAGGGAATTGCTCGCTTTGTTGGGGCTGCCACCGCTAACTGCAGCCAAGCAAATTGAAATTGCTGTGTGGATGCCAGTCACTAATTTGAAACTGCCCACAGTAATACAGTTGTGAGGGGCTGGCAGGCCCAGCGGTGAGGGCGGCTGTTGTGGAGGTTGCCAGGTGATCAAGGGACGTTTCCTGGAGTGATAAATGAGCCTGCAGGTCTCCGGCAGAAGGGACCGATCTGAACGGGAGCCATGGTGGCCCAAATGCAGGGAGACTAGTGGCTGAATGAACACACTTTTTCTTTCCACCACTACCAATGGGACTGCACCTCACCCAAAGCGAGGATGTCACTCTGGATGCAAACCAGGGTCAACATTTGTCATCCAAATAAGCTAATTAATTTCGGTGTCCCTGCTATTTCAAGACACACAAGTAGCAATATTGTCTCCTTCCTAAAAAAGGACAGCTGGAGTCACTATTACCATAACAACTGGGCTGCTGAAAATCGGCTCAGATCTTGCAGGTGCCTCTACACCCTGGGAATCTGTCCTCAGCCACACCAGGACCCTCAGACTTGTCCTACTGCCACTAACCTTTGGACAACCCTCAGTGCTCCCCACCATCCCAGTCATCCCACAAGGTTTGTTTCCCCCTGGAGTTTTTCAACCCACACCTTCACCATGCCACACAAACTTCTCTCATCTAGTTCTTTGTCATAAAAGTGCAAGATTTCTCTGAAAACTTAAAATACTTTGGTTAGAAATTTCAAAGACCTAAATAAATGAAAAGGCAGTTCGTGTTCTTGGCTTGCAAAACTTAAACTGCTACAATGACAGTCATTCCCAAATCAATCCACAGATTCAACACCATCTCCATAAATATTCCAGCTGGCCTATTTGCAAGACTGATAGGCTGACCCTCAGACTTCATATGGAAACTCAAGGGAACCAGCCAAGACGATCTTAATGAGTTAGAAGGAGGTCTCCAACATTTCTCAATTTTATTTCCCAACTTACAACAGCATTGCAACCATCAAGACAATGTGGTGCTGGCAGAAGGAGAGGCACAAACCAATGGTAGAACCAAGGGTCCAGAAGTAAGTGTTTACATTTATAGGCAGTTGATTTTTAACAAAGGTGCCAAAACAATTCAGTGCAGAAATCATCTTCTCAACCAGTGGTGCCAGGACAACTGGATAACCACCTACAAAAGAATGAAGTCGGACCCCTACCTCATGCTGTATACAAAAGTCAAACTCGTAATGCATTGAAGATCTACAAGTAAGAGCTGAAACTAAAACTCTCTTAGAAAAAAATGTAGGGCCAGTCTGAACAACAGGGGATTCTGGCAAAGTATCCAGTGTGCAGAATTAGAAGTGGAGCCTGAATGTGAGGTTGCTGACTCCTTCCATGAAGCTCTGAAGCAAAAGGAAGCACCAGAGATGCCTGTTGTAATAAAACAAGAGAAACTTCTGTAGTGGGCTCCTGCCTCACTCCACAGAAAAAGCAAACTTCTCACTCTAACCCAGAGGCCGGCCCCTGGTGCTCTGGCCTCGCAAACCTCTCTGCCCTCATCTCCTGCTACTCACTCTGTCTTGGGCCCTTCTGGTGCTCCTAGAACCTTCTCAGTACATTTCTAACTTGAGGGTCTTTGCACTTACTGTTCTCTGCCTGGAACTCTCTCTCCCAGCCCGTGGCGCCCTCTCCTGCCTGTTTCTCCTCAGCACACTGTCCCTTTTGCTCCATCAGCCCCTCCCTCCCAGCTCTCTCCCCTTTTCCCTCCTTTCTCTCTTCACAGCACTTACCCCTGGCCTATCATCACCTATTCATCTATGGACCTATTTTTTGCCTCCCCGATGCAGTGTCAGTTCCAAGAGGATAAGGATTTGTGCCATACTTTATCACTGTAGCTCCATCTATGTTTAAAATGAACAGATCTGGGAGCCTTTTGTAGGAGACAAGAGGGAGGACTGACCCTGAATGAACACATTCTAGGGACTAGGTTTCATGTGAAACTCTAAAGTACTGTCATCATCCCCACTTTACAGATGAGGCGAGTGAGGTCCAGGTGGGTGCAACACCTCGCCACCAGCCACAGAGCTAGAAATGGCAGAGGCTGGCTCCAAAGCCTGGATACTTAACTTCCAAGAGAGGAGAGAGAGGGAGCCCAGGCCAAGGCCCTGCGTGGACCTGGGCAGCGATACAACTGTGTACTTGGTTTCAGCCCTGTCACTTTCAGCAAATGATTCTCTGTTAGCCCCAGACCATGTTCCAAAGGCTGTTATACAGAATGGCCTGATGGGGAGGTACTCTGGGAAGAAGAAAGATTGGGGTGGCGCTAGGGCAGGAGGTGGAGTGTGGGTGCAGGTGGAAGGTGCTTCAGGAAGGTGAGTTATCGGGCATCACAGCTTTCCACTTGAAAGTCGGATGCTGGTTCCCTTTCTGAGGTCCAAGGTGCTTGAGTGCTCGGTCAGGTGCTTCCTTCCTTCTTTCCTTCCTCCCTTCGCAGGTTCCAAACCTAAATACCACAGGCCAAGGACAGGAAATGCCAGCAATTAAAAATCACCGGGCTGGGAAATGCATTCCAAGGGTCATCCTGGGACAAGTTGAGAAGTTGTGTTTATCAGAGCCTTGAAATCACCTTCCCAGTGCCTGCCACGGTGTGCCACTCTACTTCTAAGACTGCGATTGCTTGGGGTTTTCATTCTTCCTTCTATGTGCAGCTAATTTTTCCCCTCCCTCTTCTCAGAACGAACCTAAACGCTTGAAAAAACAGCTCCCAAAACTCCTGAAGCTCCTGAAGCCAGAGGACAGGATTCTGGTGGTGGGGACGACCCAGCGTCCCTTCGATGCTGAGCTGCAGTCCTTTTGCAGAGCTTACCAAAAGATCGTTTTGGTTCCCAGGCCAGACTACGCGTCCAGATATGGCAAGTATCCTGCCAGGCCACGGGGTCTGCTTGCAGGCGTGAGGCACAAGGGCAGTGGCCACGCAGCCCGCTGAGCAGCAGGTGGTCTGGCTGGAGCCTGGGTGTTGCAGAGGTTGTACATCTGGACCCAGGCAGACACTGGTCCCTGAATGGTGACTGTTGGAACATAAGAGCGAAGGGTATATTATGGTTCTATTGGCATAGAATCAGATAGGGTTCTGATTTTTATCCCTGGCAGTAACACAAGCCCTGTGGGTACTGAGGACTTGTTAGTTTGTGTGTTTTGTTTTATTATATTAGCAGTACTGGGAATTGAACTCAGGATCTTGTGCTTGCTAGACAGGCACTCTACTGGTTGAGCCACACCTCAGCCCTTTTTTGCTTTAGTTATTTTCAGATAGGGTCTCACGATTTTGGCTCAAGCCACCCTCAGACCAGCCTACCTATGGCTTCCTGCATAGCTGAGAAGATAGGCAGGAACTGTGTCATCTAGCTTGTTTTGTTAAGATAGGGTCTCACTAACATTTTTGCCCAGGTTGGCTTAAAACTTCAATCCTGCTACCTCTACCTCTTCTGTAGCTGAGATTATAGGAGTGAGCCTCTGCAACCAGCCCTGATTTTTCTTTTGTCAGGTAGATGAGGATTACTGTCTTGTACCAAGGGACGGGGCGGCTGGCAGCTTTCCATAGAGCACTACTTCTTTACAGCAAGTTGACACCGTGAGCCTCCATGTTCTCATCTGTGGAGCAGGAGAACTGCTCACTTCACAGAACTGAGTAGCACTCATAGAAGATAGTTAGCAGGACTCCCACTCCCCAGGAGGCCCTGGGTGTTTGGACAGTAGTGGAGGTGGAGGAAGAAGAGACAGTAGTGGAGGCTGAGGAGAAGTAACAAGAGGGTGGCCAATGGCTGAGGGGAGCTGCAGGTAATTCAAGTCATTGTTTCTGCTATTCCTGGCTGCATCAAAACTTCCCATTGGCTTAAAACCATGCTCATTTTCTCTTGTGGATCTGAGTTGAGTGGTTTAGCCAGGGTGTGGTCTTTGATGTGTTGCGTGGGGCTAGAGGCAGAGGTCAGCTGGGGCTCCAGTTGCCTGAGGACTGGACAAGGCTGGGTGTCCATGGTGGTTCACGCCTTTGTCTGCAGTGATACTGACAATCAGGGTGAGCCAAGCCAGGCTGCAGACCAGATAACCCATACCTGACCACTCCACGCAGTGTTGCACATACCGTGATCTGAGAGGGAGTGTCTAGCAGCACATATTTCAAGAGGTTCAGCAATCGCTGAAAAGATTCTTATGACCCAGCCTGAGAAATTACAGTGTCTATGTCACCACACTCTCTGTCAAGAAGACATGAGACCAGCCAAACTCCAGGACTGCTGAAGACACAAGAGTAAGGATCCCACAGGTTTGGCTTCTGCAGGACCATGGTCAGCACCACAGGCTCACCCACCGCAGTGTTGGTAGAAGTGGTGAGGGACCGGGTGTGGAGATGGTGGTGAAGATGTGGTGACAACATGCTGCTAATGGAGATGATGACAGTCACACAGGAGGGTGAGAGAAGTGATGGTGGCAGTATGGGGTGACAATGGAAAGGTTGGTGGCAATGGTGGTGGTGACTGTTGCATGGTGACAATAGAGACAATGGTAGTCACAGTGGCGTTAGTGATAAGGAGGGTTTCTGGGACCTGGTAGTAGTGGTTAGTATTAATGGTGGCAGTACACGTGACTAGGTCAGAAATGGATTCTACCAATCCTCCTCCAGGTTCTACCAGCCTACCAAGGGGTAGATTGTCCTATGTTGCTGTCCTGAGTTCCTGGTCAATTCTACTTGCTAAAAGAACAACCTTGTACTCTCGATGCATTATAAACTGCTAGCTTATTACCCACTCTGTTTGCAACATGTGCTTATTCTATCTTGATAAATTGTGCTCCTGGCTTCATAAGTCAATGTCATATTCAAAGCAAAGGAGGACTTTGGGCTCCATTGTGTCTCCATCCATCCAGGGCTTCTCCATCATATAGAGCTACACAAACCCACACTGGGTCCTTGAAGCCAGCAGCATAGGACAAACAGAGGGAAGGCAGTTTGGGGGATGTCACAGGAGACTTTAGGGACAAGATCTAAGAGGGTTAACACTTCTGCCCATACCACCTTGGCCAGAATGAGTACCATGGCCCCTCCCAACTCAGGGAGGCCAGAGTGCCAGCCAGTGCAGGGATGGGGAGCAACAGGGAGAGAGAGCAGGGATGGGGAGCAGTGGGGAGACAGTGCAAGAATGGGGAGCAGTGGGAGAGAGAGCAGGGATGGGGAGCAGTGAGGAGAGAGGGCAGGGATGGAGAGCAGTGAGGAGAGAGGGCAGGGATGGGGAGCAGTGAGGAGAGAGGGCAGGGATGGGGAGCAGTGAGGAGAGAGGGCAGAGATGGGGAGCAGTGAGGAGAGAGGGCAGGGATGGGGAGCAGTGAGGAGAGAGGGCAGGGATGGGGAGCAGCAGCCAGGTCCCTGTGGCCAGCACTAAGGGTGCTGCATTCCCGGCTCTCTCTTCTTTCTTTTTCGCTCTCTCCTTCCATCCTTTTTCTCTTTTCCTTCCTTAATTTCATGTACCCTAAGTTATTCTCATACTGCCAGGTAGGTACCTTTAGGTTTAAGCAGCTAGAGATGCTCTTGACTCTGGACTGAACGGTTTCTGTTGTTTGACAAGCTATAAGCCCTTTAACCCCCACATTGATTAATGCTTGTCTGGTCCCCAGACGCTGCATCTGTACAGCCAGAATTGATGTCCAGCATGGGCAATTGTGCTCTTTTGTCAAATGCCTGGCATCTCTAAGGACTCAGGCCACACTGTAGATTCCTTCCGAGCCTCCTCCCTGCGTCTCACTGGAGAGGGAAGAGCAGGTGTCCCTTCCCCTGCAGGCAGATGAGGAACCTGCAGAAAACTCCTCTCATGGGCCAGGGCCCCATTCACTAAGCCGCCTGCTTCTCACATCTTTCTTTCCGGGTGGTAATCTGTTCAGGCTGCCATTATTGCTGACATCATAAATGCTATCCAGCCTCCCCAGCAGTCACCTTGAAGCTTTCATAGCCACGGTGGCTGGGCATCTGTCTTAAAGAAAGACTGCCCCTGCCGTAGCTGTGATCAGAAGTGGTCTCGTCTAGACTGTCAGCCAGGGGCTGTAGATCCATGGCTGGGCCGGTGCTCAGCCATCTGTCTACCAGCAGAGGAGCTCCAGAGGTGTGTGGACACATTCACAATCCCACTTGTCAAATGTCTCCAGGCTGGGCTGGGGGGTGTTGGCACTGAGAGGCCAGGGGGCCCAGCCTGCGGACACGCAGACCTAAGATACACCAAACATAACTCAGTGTCTCCCTCCGTCCTATCCCTCAGATCAGGCCTCTCTGCAAAGAAAATCCCCCCAGGTTGATTAATGCTTTGTCTGGTCCCCAGAAGCCTCCTCTCCACAGTCCTAATGCTTCCCTCCTCTGGCCTCTCTTCCCTGGAGTCTGTCTGGTTAATTACCCAATTCATCACAGGCCCCAACGGTCCGGGTGTCTGATGGGATGAGTCCAGTTTTCGTTTTCACATTTGTCTAGAATTCAAGCTAGGGAGGGTCAGAGCTCACACAATTCTTGTTATTTCCCTTCTCTGCTTTTGTGAAATCCCAAATAAAATGAATGTTAAGGTACCAGTTCCTGTGGAGCACCCACCAGGATCGAACCAACTGGGGGTGACAAAGCAGTGAAACCAAAGACCAGACTCTTTCCAGTCTCAAGAAGGGAAAGAGAATGTAGACTGGTCTGAAGAAGTGGGAAGCCCATCACATCCAAAAGAGGAAATGAACTGCAGCCCTGCGCCCAGGGCCCTTCTCTGTCCTGAGCACTCTGGAGTCCTAACAGTGTCCTTGCCCACAGGACTGTGGTACATGTATGTCCCTGTGAGTTCATCTGTACCTGTGCTCCTAGGCCTCACCAGCAGCTAGTCACAGGGCTCCCGGAGGGGCTCCTGTGCCAACTGAGCCTGCCACTATGAGCCTCACTCCACACTAGACCACAGTGAAGACCCCACGGTTAATCGAGTGTCAAGAGCCCATGCGTGAGTGGTTTTCTGAAAGTCACAGGTGCAATTCTCTTCAAACTAATAAGAGATTTTCATCATCCATGACAAAGACTGCCCATTCTCTGGGTCATAAGGTGACCATGGGAAGTGGCCAAGTCCCCCACAGCTCTGACTGCCTCTCACTACTCTTAGGCACCTCAGCTAAGAAGTGGTGATCTTTGGAAAGTAACCAATGATTTAAGTGTTTTAAGGAATCTTGACCCAAACTCTACACAAATGCCAAGCATCATACATTGTAAATGGTGGGTATGTGTTTGCACAGACACATTCATCAGTGGCTGTACTCCATTACTGATGAACGCATCTTTAGGTACACAGAGGCTGCTCCTGGCCAGAGAGCTTCCAGGGCTGTGACAATGGCAGCCTATTGGGGGAAAGGAGGACCTTGCCTGGTCCTCTACCACAGACAGGATTCGTCCATGGGCACCAAGACTGAAGCCACTCTGAGTCCCTATCTCAAGTATCTTTGGAGTCTCCAGTTTTGGGGACGCCCTACGGCTCTCCCACAAAACATGTTTCCTTCTCTGCTTCCAGGTCACCACTGAGACTTGTGGGTCCTTTCTGTAGATGCTACAAGTTGGAATGGAAGCCATATCAGTTCTCAAGCGATGGTTCTGTCCAGTTGCTGTTGATTTTTGACATTTTTATCTGGGTTTACTTCCTGATTTCTAACTCTGTTGCAGTTATTCTTACATAAGGATTCTCCTTGCCTGCTAGAAGCTGTCTTTACACAAACATGCTTTGAGGTATTCTGTAGCTTATTTTGTGGTATCTTTCCTAATTGGAGTTTTAATAAGGGCTAGGAACTTCATTGCAAGATGCAATACCTAATAGAACCATTGTAGTAGCAGCAATAACGGGGCTTCTGGGAAGAACCACCCATCACGTGCTGGCACAGTGATCTACCAACTGCTTTACACACTGCTGTGCTCACTTCTCCCGATAGCACCAGGAAGCAAATCTTTCTACTCCTGTTTACAGACAAGACTAATTTGGGCTCAAACTTACTTACCAAGGAAGTAGCAGAGGAGGGTCAGGGAGTTAGAAGGTACTTTGGGCCATTGTGGCAGTCTCTAGTTGGTCTCACTTCAGGTCTCCATAGCTTGGAGACACAGGCCCAGCCCCTGGTAATCAGTGCCCTTGAACAGCAACTCAGCTCACCCAAGGTCCAAGCATGCCCTTGGAGAGGACAGTGGAGGTCCAAGCTGGGATAGCTTGTGGTCCAATGGCATCACTCTGTGTCATGGTTCACAGGTCCACTTCACAGTGGTAAGTGGACCTTTTCATCTTATCCATGGATTTGGGGGTGAAGTCATCAACAGACCCAGAGCTGACCCCTGACCAGACCTGACAATGCTTAGATCACATAGTAATGGTCGTATTTTTTAGTTTCAATATCCTTAAAGGCAGTCTAAATGCTTCGGAAATGTCTGGCCAGATCATCGTAGCACAGAGCCAGACCTCAGTGCTCAGACTGACAGCTCAGCAAGCACCCTTCAGCCATCATCATTCGGAAACGGCACCATCTTCCCAACAGCTCTCTGAACAGGAGGGACAAAGCTCTCCAGGCATAATATTTTTTAAATATTGTGCAGGAGTCCATTCTATCTCTAAAGTTAAGCATTAAGAATCATTTTACACTAGACACGGTGGCACACACTGGTCATCTCAGCACTCAGGAGGCTGCGTCAGGAGGATCACCAGTTGAAGGCCAGCCTAGACTACAAAAGGAAACTCTGCCTCAAAAATGAAATAAAATGAAAAGGATTATTTCATAATTAATTTTTACAACATCCCTGTGTATTCTAGTGTCCACTAACCCAGGCACCTATCTGATGGGTTTCTAACAGCCAATGTGCATTTACAGTGGTGGGAAGAGGGGAGAGAAAGGGCTATTTGCTCTGTTATGGCAACATCTAGTGTTATGCAGAACCTGGCACTAACTAATGGAAATTAGAATCCAAATTCTAATTCCATTCATAAAAATAATATGAAAATGAACTTTATAACTAAAAAAAGATATAAGTTAAATTCTCATTTATCCAAACTGGTTGGAAAAATGCAGAGATCCCACACACACCCTATGTGAATTTCCAGCTTTGAAACTGTTAAAACATCTTTAGAAGTACCACATTCAAACTGTACTGGTTTCATTTTTCTTTGTCAGGACATGAGGATCTACAGACCTAGGGCTCTCAATGTATGTGTCTTATGGTGGAAGAGTCTCCAGGAGAAAGCATTCAGTGTTTTGGCCTCCAGGTCATTTGACTCACAAATAAATTGGAGCAACTTCTTATCTGTTTCTTTCTTGATAAGACGCTGTATTGCATGGAGAGCTAGGCTAACACTGTTTTCTCTGCAGTAACCCTTGTTCTCTGTCTTTTCCACCATCTTGGATGCAACAGTTTTGTGGAAACAGATCATTCGGCACAATGGAGGAATCTTGACAGACACCCTGAACATCAGTTGCCTAGCAAAGGTCACTGATGGTTTCACCCAAGGACATATAGTTGAGGTGGTCAAAGAAGTACTTACAGACCGCAGAATCCGGCAGCAGGCTCATAAACCTCTCACTGCAGTGGAGTTTATTGCAGCAATAGCCAGCATGAATCCAGTGTACAAAGAGGAAGAAGAGAGCTTTAAGGTAAGCAGAACACCTTAATGGCCAAATCCTAGCAGCGAACCCTTGGCATGTGACCTCCTCCCTCTAGTTCCCTGGGTTTCACGAATCTGAACTGTCACATACAATGAAATTTGGAAAATAGGCAATTTTTATTGCAAAATCTTTTAAAGTCTCAGTAATAAAACATATGTCTTACAAATGTTATAAGGTCATGGCCCAGGACCTTATAGATTAACAACCAAATTGCAGAATTAGGTAGCATTACTATCACTTAATAGTAAGTTCAAACTAATGCTGCTTTGTCCCATTTTTTGCCATGGGGCACTTTAGTTTCAGTTTTCAATGTACTTGCAACAGGAGACCACAAGGGAGCTCGGCAGAATTTGGTTTATCAATTTGGGGGTACATCCTGACCAAAATGTTGTAGGTCTCTATGAAACTTGGAGATCTCTCTTCCAACTCCCTCTTTTGTAGAAGATGATGAGAGTCATAACCTTTGTCCATTCATGTAATTGACCCAAGGCACAATCAAAGGTGAAACCCCATCCCTGATGCCTTGGCCAGTGGGCATTCCTCAAGCCCTACTTGCTCTCCATTGGATCAGAATGAATACAAAGTGTGCCCTTTCTCTGCCTGAGGTAGTTCCCTTGGCCAACTAGGAAGTCGAGGGAGAATTATTCCCATGCAATTGATGGTCACCAGGATGTATTGGCTGCACAGTCACCAACAGGAGGATTGAAATTCTCATTCAAGACTCACCTCTCTTAGCCTGCTTTACATTGGGAAATTTCCCCTCTATGGTGTACCACTCTTTCACCAAGCCTAAAGTCTCTGCTTCCTTCCTGGCTTGCCCCATGCTTCTGGGAAAGTTGAGAAATCCCAGAAGTAATGGTCTAGCACCAGGCTTAACCAGTTTTTCTGTAAAGGTTCACATAGTAAATGCTTTAGCTTTCAACAGCTATTCAACCTCATGGCACAAAAGTACAAAAGTGGGCGTGGCTGGGTTCCCATGAAACAATGGGCCAGGTTTGGCCCATTCTGACTCCAGCTGTAGCAAAACTGAAAAAAAAAAAAAATTCACTTCCATCCCCAGGTTTACCAAGCACTTGAAATAATATTTTGCTATTTCACTGTCTAAATTAGTATTCTGCTGAATTTAAGTGTTTAAATTTTGTTGTATTAATTGAAAATATTTATTGTCTTTGAGGATATATTTTATCTGAAATTCTCATTTTTTTCTCTTTTCTAGAATATTGCTTTTCCTCCTTATTTTGAGGAGTTGAATTTAGGGTGTTAAAGCTTAAAGTTGAGTTTTTTAATTTTCTGAAGGGATCTCTAGGAGTTTTTGCTCCATGACAGGTGTTTGGGGGCTGACTATACTGCTCAAAAAAAAGGAAATATTACCATTTCATGACCTGGGGTGGGAACACCTATGCTTCTAGAATCCATTCTTGGTGGATTTCATCACTCATCACTTTTAAAAAAAAAATTAATCGTTTTCCCACTATTAATTCTGTTCCCCCAACCTATTTCTGCTTCAGTTATAGTACAAGGCACAGAGTCTAACCCCAAGTAGATGTTCAATACATTTGTCAATGACACATTTATTTAGCAGGTGGATAGATGGAATGACACAGTCACACTCTGAATAATGTGACACCACTGCTGAAGTTGCTTATAATGGGCCCATTTATCCTGAGACATTTTACTTAATTGTTTTTCTGACAAGGTATCACACTAAGATTTTACAGATTCCCCAAACCCATTCTACTCTATTCCACTGATATGAGGGAGAAAATACTCAATGATAATGATGATGCAATCATGATTTAGACATCACAACCCCCTATTTTGCAAGTAAGGAGCCTAAACTATGGAGAAGTGTAATAGGCAGAATAATGTCCCCCACCTCCCAAAAGATGTCCATTTCCCAATCCCTAGAACCTATAAATATGTTACCTTACATGGCAGAAGTGGACTAAGTTTGCTAGACAGCTAGCCTGAAGAGAGAATCAGAAGAAAGAACAAGAGAGGGTGCAACTGGAAAAAGACTCATTGGTACTCCAAGTAGCCTGGCACTGCTGGCCTGTAGATGGACAAGAAACTGTAGGCCAAAAAAGCAAGTGGTCTCTGGAAGCTACAAAAACAAGAGGACAGATCCTCACCTAGGATCAGGAAGAGACATGGTCCTGCAGACACCTCAGCAGTGAGGTCCATTTCAGCTCTCTGACCTACAGAACTCTAACATAAGAAATGAGTGATTTTAGGCCACTAAGTTTGAGACATTTGCCACCACAGCAATAAAAAGGAAAAATATACACACTGAAAAGTAGCAAAGCTAAAATTCATAGCTTGCTCCAAAGCCAAATTTTATTAGCTAGATTCTGTGCTGTGTCTTTCTAATTTAAGAGCTTATCATTTTAAGACTTTAGCCACCTTGCCTTACATTAAAAATAGAGCCAAGGCTAAGAGAGGAAGAGGGAGCCTCCAGGTGCCAGAAACAAAGGTAATCTCTAGGATGGGAACAGCCATATGAGCTAATATGGCCCAGGGGAGCATAAGATCCAAACATTGAGGGAAACCTTAGGCCCAGGGAAGACAGAATGCAGAATCTGCATAAACTTGAGACACTTGAGAGGTAGCATCACAGAACTTATGACCTTCTTAGGGCCCCAGAGGGGAGCGAAGGCAAAGCCCATGCCCCACGCCTGCATGCTAAGGCTCCAATTCTGCATTATGTCCCTGGTGCCAGAATCCCATGTTAACATTCTCCAGAAAATAATATTGTGTCATTAAAACCCCTGAAGTCACATCAAAAGCAAATGTAAAAACACTCTATATGGGAACTTATCCAAGTCAAGGAACATCCAATCCTACAGGAAGTGCTTCCCTTGCTAGAGACAAACTCATAATGAGATAAATTATAACCCACAAGGGAGTGACCTGCCCCGTGGAGACACCCCTAACACAAGGCAGTTAGCACTATCAAGAACATTCTGAGAGAGACTGCGTATCAAGCATGTTTAAGTTACTGAAGACCACAAATGTCATGGGGGTGAAAAAGCAAAAAAAACTTCTGATAGTAAAAAATACATACATATAGTCATTACAATTAAGAACTTGATGAGTGAGATGTCCGTGCTCTAGACACAACTAAAGGGAAAATGAAAGAACAGGAAAGGGTAGCAAAGGAAATTGTCTAGAATGCATCACAGAGAAAAATAAAGAACAAAAACAAAGAGGTTTAGAGTCATGGAAAGGAAGATCACTGTGCTGTCGCTCCAATGCCTGGCTCTCTGCCTGTCTCCTCCACATCAGCAAAGAGCATTAACTTGAGAACATCTGGAAGACCTGGCTCTGTGTTTGGGATTAGAAGACCTTCAGAAGCAAACACAGAAGTGCTAGGGGGCAGACAATGAGAGAGACAGACAAAACAAAGCTTCCCACTCAAAAGCAAACTTGAAAATCAGAATTTTAACACATCCTAGGAAATTTAGTGTTAAATACAATCTGACAAAATGTTTAAAAGGGAGTCGTTAAGGTATTCAAGAAAATAAGTGAAAGCATGACTTCCACTACAATCATACATGAAGTTTTTAAACAAAGACACACAGACCACAGACATTAAATAAGAAGAGATAATTATTTCAAAACCGCAAAAAGAAAGCTTATAAATGAAAATATAGTAGTTAACATTAAATGGCAAAAAATAAGAGAGATACAAACTCTAGACTAGACATGGTCAGAGAAGAAATTAGTGGACTGGAAGGTAGCCTTGGGGCACTCCCCCACAGAAAACAGTAACGGAAAACAAAACTATTAAAACCCATAAAGATAGAGGGATTCCAAGATGGCGGCTAGAGGGAGGAAGCAGAAAGCAAGCCTCCTATAGTGAAATCTTGGAGAGACACTGGAGACACACTTTGCAGGCATAATCACTGAGACGAGGCATAACTTTGACCCCTCCACACCTCCAGCCGGGGCAGAGAATCTCCACTTCATGCTAAACAGAGAAACCAGGAGGGTCCCCGGGCCACCAGTCGCCAGCACCCAGAAGGCTTGGGAAGATGCGGACCAGGTGAGCTTCGCAGTACCGCAGTACTCCCACAGACAAGCTTGAGCCCGGGCAGCATAGCCCCTGGAGAGACCAACCCCCACCCAGGGAAAAAAGAGAAACTGAGTAATAAGCAATAAGAGCAATAAAGACACGCGGAAAAGAGGGTGGGGCACACTGAGTGCCGAAGATTGGGGGAAGGGAATCCTTCCCGGGACTGTAAATAAACAAGCCGGGCGGGCCGGAGAGCCTCTGGCGGGAGTGGGGGCACGCACCCAGCAACCAGGAGCAGGGAAGCTTGTGAGAGTGGAGGAGGGAGAAAAACTCCACAGAAGAGGAGGGAAGACCCACTTCCCACGTGAACTGTAAACAAACATGGCAGCTGGCAGGAGCAGAAGCACCGCCCAGTAATCAGGAGCAGGAAAGCTTGTGAAAGTGGCAGTGGGAAGAAAACTGCACAGGAGAGGGGGGAAGACCCACCTCCCACATGAACTGTAAATAAACACGCAGGCCTGAGAATGCAGGTGCAGTGTCACCTTCCCCAGTGCTTAGAAAGGGGAAAGCTTGTAGCAGAGGCTGGTGCACAGGAGAACTCTGAGCAAACAAAGCCTGCAGGGCCAGGTGAGTGCTAAGCTCACCCCTGAGATCTGCATAAATAACACCTCCAGCAACAGCAGGCTGAGAGCAGCAGGCAGGCAAGCCACAGCTGCAGATACCATTCTCAGAACTGTCTCCAGACTCTTTTTTTTTCTCTGTCTCCCTACCTTTGATGAGAGAACAACCGAATTACACCTGCAAGCTGAAAAACTTACTGAAACTGCATTGCATTTGAACTTGGGACACTTGGTGGGTTTTTTTGTGCGTGTGCGTGTGTGTGTGTAGTTTTGTTCTACTTTATGCGTCTCCTTTGATGAGACAACTACAGAACAACATCTGAGGCACCATCTCCAGGATTGGAGACTGAGAC